TAATTCACTTTCGTGAATGAGTATAATAATTCACTTTCGTGAATGAGTATAAAATTTCGCTTTCGTGAATGATGAATGGTGAATGTTCAGGTTGTACCTGAACTAAGATAATTTTTCTTTAATTCAATTTTGATTTTTTTTAAGCTAAAATAAATCACTAAAACTACTCAAAGACTCCTAGGGCGCAATACATTTTCGCTGCTTTATGATAGAGTTGGGAAACTATACCATGAGCTATCCCACAAAGCATAATTTCCAATAAATAAACTATAATCAATATTGGCTAGACGAGCTGCTTTATGAAATATATTTATTAGACAGTGAATTTTATATGAAATAACCAATTAACGCCTCTAATATCAATATAAATAAAACCAAAATCATGTCACTAATGAGTTTGAGCCATGTTAATCTTACAATTTTTTAATGTCAAAGTAATGCTCTAGTGCTGTACATACCTACTAGCTTTGACCTACAAGAGTCGATGCGAAGGCTGTGAGAAATGTGACCGTTTTTAATTGAATATTTAACCAAAATTCGAATCGACTCATTTCGAATACATATCACGTTGACTGTGACCAAGAGCCGGTTTAATCGCGATGTCTTTGCAAACTTCGGTCGGTACGCAAACAGCTTAAAGTATAACACTTTTTTTTTTTGTATTGCCCACTCAGTCCGCCTCATTATTGCTAATGAGAATCCTCCATTTCCATGATTCCAATAACAAATACAAAACCTTTGATGATATTTATGCGCATGAACCAAATAAATTACTTATTGGCTGTCGATAATCCTGTTGATAATTAATATAGTTTGTTATAGCTTTGTTAATATGTTTTCTGGTTAGCAATATTATTGTAGAAGGCTTAATTTCGTTATTTATTTAAATTATTTCTGCAGCTCATCTTCTTCGGCTTCTACTTAAAATTACGTTCCCGCTCTTCCTTTTCTGCTTAAGTTATTCACGATCATCGGACACCAACCTCATTGCCATAAAATAAGTATCGATAGATGTGTATATCGATAGTTGAGTATGGATAGATGTAGATATCAATAGTTGTGTTCTTCCCTCTCTTCATTTATCGACCAACTGCACTAATGTAACCGTAACCGTCTGACATTAACTTTAATTCTTATCATGCTCCCTTACAGCAACTAGCAGGTAAACGCTATCGTAAAAATTGAATAGTTCAATCCAGCGATTATTCAACCTCCATTAAACGCGGATACTGAAAAAGGGCTCATGCTGCAGTGTAGAAAATGTCTTTGTTCTACTGAGTCCCTTTGCTTCGCATATTTATTCTGTCACACACACACTCACACCGACACACTCCCTTTGGAGTTGGGGTTGGACAACTGCTTAGCTAACGCTTGCATTCAGTTGCTAGTTGTAAATCTAGAAAAATTGCCATTCAATGCAAAGATTCTAAAAGCATTCATCAAACAGTTGGCTAAAAGTCTGGAAGTCCATTCGATATACATACATATATATTATTTGTTGAGTATCAAACAATGAAAATCTCTAATTTGGCGTTAAAGTTCCTACACTGCACGACGTTTCTTACACTCTGAATGCAATGTTGGCAAATTATATTTTATTCATTACGATAACACAATATTTCAATAGAGATAATGCATATTCATTTACATATCCGACTTATCCCTAGACTTATCTTTACATAAAGCCGTCATCAACAATTTAGTTTATAATTAACTCTGGGAATTCAGATTAGAAAACTTCTCCGATTTGTAGAGAGCATGTTCTTTTTCAGAAAACAACATAATTCCCATATAAGGTATTTAAGTACTTTGAACATTATAATCAAGTATAATTATACTCATTCACGAAAGTGAATCAGTATATTGGTTTTGTGCAATGTCCGTCTTGCTGTTCCTCCGTCTGTCCGTCTGTCCGTATGAACGCAATCTATTTCGGCGCTATAGAAGCTAGAGACCTGAAATTTGGAACACATACTCGTGTATAGCTCCGATTTATAAAGTGCTAAAATTTTCCCGATCCGCCCACTAGGGTCGTGGCAAATCGGAAAATGCATTTTCCGATATACCAGAAATCATGTTAGTTGAAGAGCTAGAAAGCTGAAATTTGGTATGTAGGTTCGCTTCGACCACCCTAGATCACGAGCTATGGCGGATACATCTCCGCCCATTGAGGGCGTGGCAAATCGGATAAAACTGTATCTTCTAGAGTTGTAAACCTAGAATGCTGAAATTTTGGACGTCAGCTAATGTTATGATTCTATAAAGTCTAAAGACAAAATTATAAAACTACGCCCATTAGAGGCGCGGCAAATCGGACCTGAAGATATAGTGATTTTTNACCCTGTAATTTTCACATTTTTTGAGGGTAAGCACTCAAATATTGCAGTTAGGGTACCGTTATCTCGTTCTAAGAACTGACCAAAAATGAGGTGTCTACGCCCAGTTGGGGCGTGGCAAATCGGAAAAACCTGTATATTCTACAGTATTAGAACGAAACGTAACTACTAAATTGTTGATGGGATGTGAATGAGTATTCCGTAGTCGGTAACGTCCAACTGCAACGTTCTTACTTGTTTTTAATATGTTTATAATCATTTATATTGCAATTATATTTTTGATTATTAATTTAAATATTGATTTACATCAATCAGAAAGTAATCAGTGTAGAAAGTTCTACAGGCATTATTTGCCGTATATATACATATTAGATCTGATAACATTTCAGCTAGCAATACGAATTTAAATTCAACAGGAAAAGCTTAGCTCGTCTCCAATTTCTTTCTGTGTATTGAAAGGCAACACATGGCGTGGACCACGGCCACTGTTGGACTAGCGACAGCCTTCCCATATGGCAAAGGCACACAGCCGTACAGCCGCACAGCCAGGCAGTCAAATCTGTCCATTTGGCTAATAAATCCTTGAGCAGCTTATTGAGCAACGTCTGCGCATAAATATTATGGCTGGCAACTGGCAACTGGCAACTGGCAACTGGACAAGGACGCAAGTATGGCGACATTGGCGATGCTCTGAGAGACGCCTCCATTCACTTTTCGCTTCAATGCTTTAAAACGTTGCCCCTGTTGCGCCTTGCCCCTGTGGCATTTAAGCATCACATTCCTTGACCGCCTCGTACGTGTTAAATAAAATTCGACGTTAGTTTCTTTTTTGTTCGGAATGTTTGCTAGGCAGGGTGAAGAGAGAGTTTTGGCTTTGTGTAGTGCTTCATCGTTAGAGGATTATCAGAGCACCACTCTGGCTATCCAGCAAGAGCGAATATACCATACAGTAAGAAGGAACGTAAGATATTCTGTATGCTAGAGTATAGCGCAGTTGGTTATACCCGTCTGCAATATTTTTTGTACACTTTAGCTCACCATAGCCTGCAAATTCTTGAGCTGACATTGGATTTCGGTTAGCTGTCGTGGTGGTATGCCTGCTCAGGAGTTTTATTGTTGTTGTTGTTGTTGTTGTTGGTGCTGTTAATGCTTGTTGTTTCTTAAGTACGCTCGCTGCACTAAAAGGATATGCAAATTGTTTGAATAGCAAACGACATGCTAAACAATTTCTGCTCCGGCCTCTATAAAGAAAGAAGTCCAACGTAACATTTCTCTTTAGTATGTTTTGGCAGTGCCCTTGGTCAAACACTTCTGCCGCTGCCGCTGCCTCTGCTGCTGCTGCTGCTGCTTCTTCTTCTTCTTCTTCTCCTGGCCATCGCATTTTTGTTTGTTTTTGCGCATTAAGTTGTTGCAACAAGGATACGAGTACAAGGCGTACTCTCAGCTCAACTGAAATGTACAGGAAA